ATCCTTAGGTTGACATCTTCTCTGTTGTGATCAATAGATAACATTGGGAAAGTATGCTATATCATAGGTTTTGGAGAAAGTACTCTTTATTGTAGATTTTGTTTAATCTGTTTTAAAAATGCATACATTAGTGAGCTCATTTACAGTGTGCAGAGCAATTTTCATAAGTGGGTGAACTTCCAGTAACTGTAAGATTGTGAGTGAAGATTTATAGATTTCTCAGAAACTTGGGAGTTCCAGGCCTGGGAGGGAGCACTGGGTTGGGAGTGAAGGTATGTGGAACTTTCTCATAAGACTTGAAGATTAAAGTTATATTTCCTTGTCCTCCTTTTGTCTCCTTTCTAGCTATCTTGTATTTCTTTTCTATCCTACATCAGTTTTGCTTAGTCATATGCCAGCCAGCCTCTGATTTACACATTTCTGCTATATTTTGGGAAACCCAGGTTAATAACGCCCATTTCCTCCAGTGGTCAGGGGGCCCTGGGCAAGATAGTAACCAGTCTATTTTTTTTTTTTTAATATTCCACCATATCCTGATGCCATTAAATATTTAAATTGAACAACAGTTCCCTTTGTTTGGATGCCATGCTCACCAAGCTATCTTCTGAAAGCAATCTTCATATCATAATGCAGGCTTTACATCTAGCTTGCCTAGAGAATAGGGTGCATTTGCAACAAGATGTTCCCCTTGTTACTTGATTTCTTATTGTATAAAACAGTAAATTACTGGTCTGTCTTGTATATCTACCTTTTGTGAACTTGGTTAGGATAAAGTAGTTGCCAGAGTTAGTTTGATGTGAGACACTGTCAGCTGAAGATTAGACCTTGCACCTTGGCAGACTGAGCAGGGCAGCCTGTTCTACAAGGCCCTTTGGCAGCCAGCCAGCCAACTCCCTCCAGGGCTATATCTTGAGTTCACCATACACCTTTTTTTCTGAGTTCCATAAGCATTACTTCTGAATCATATAATTCTGTAACTGATGTGATATTTCTTTATATTTTCTTCAAGAAGCATTATAAAAGATTTTGTTTATTTTTTACTGTTAACTTTTTGAAAGGAATACATAAGCTTTGAACAATTATAGTTGGATCTTGATTGTTTTTTCCTTCTAGGAATAGGCAAACAAACCACTTTGAAAATTCTCTTACCAGAGGTCCATCTTCTGGAGATTTCCCTGTTCACAAGTACCTGCCTGCTAGAAGAGGCAGAGCAAATCAGAAAGCAGATCTTTTAGGTATTGCTCTTAGTTTGTTGAAAAAGTAGTAGAACTTGTTTATTAAAGTGTGTGAAGAGCAGTGTCTATGAACCTACATTTTATATGTCCAAAGTTCTCTGGAATACTACTGCAAATTATATACCTATCCCTCTTTTGAGGATTTAGGGTTCATGTTGGCATATTAAAGATGCTGGGGGGCTGAGGATGTGGCTCAAGCGGTAGCGCGCTCGCCTTGCATGCGTGCGGCCCGGGTTCGATCCTCAGTACCACATACAAACAAAGATGTTGTGTCCGCCAAGAACTAAAAAAAAAATAAATATTAAAAAATTCTCTCTCTCTCTCTCTCTCTCTCTCTCTCTCTCTCTCTCTCTTTCTCTCTCTCTCTCTCTTCCACTCTCTCTTTAAAAAAAAAAAAAGATGCTGGGAAGTCTTTATAATAAGCAACTTGTTTAATTTTGTATAATCTGTTTCTTAAATTTACTTTAATTCCTATATTTCCAGTCTATTTTCCTCCTCTCATCCCCAAATCCCAGCAACAAACATAATTTGGGAGATGCTTGCTATGTAACATTCCTGTTCCTCTTTTCTTTCTTTTGACTTTTCTACATCTGATCTTGAAACAGAGAACGTAAGCCTAATGATTCTGAGATTTCTGAAAACAGTCTTGCAGCATTGACTTACAGAGCATTCAGTGAGAACAGCTTAGTCCTTAAAAATCACTTGGCCATGATAATTCTTAAGTTTAATTTTTTTATTGCTTTAAAAATAATACTCATCATTGTTAAAGAATTTAACAAATTTTTAAAAAGGTAACCTATTTTGAATTTATATTAGCCATTGTGGCTTTCCTATGTATTTCCTGTATATTATCTTGGAGGGCCTTAGACTAGTCTGTGAACTAGGTAGAGCAAATGTTATATCCCTGACTGAGGGGAAAGGGACTTGAATTCGAAGTGTTCTGGTGCTATGAATAAGGCCTTATGATAAATTAACAGGAAGGCTGCAATTAGATCTCTGAATTTCTGACTCCAAGGTTCAGTAATTTCTTTTTCCACAGTTGCTTATTAGCCATACTTCATAGACTGCATTACTTTTTGCTAACTCTATAATTTTTTCCTCATTCCTCATTTGATAGGTTGTCTTATTCATTCATTAATGTCCATGGTATGTCAGATACAATGGTATCATAGGGACTATTCAAAAATGCTTCAGGGAAAGTTCTTGCCCAGAGGTGCTTCTAGGTAGCCTACTACCTTTGAGACTTTTTCCAAGCTTCAGTTTCCTACTTAGAGGGCTGTTTTAAGGACAAAATGAGAAGTGCCACTGTAAGTCCTCAGGAGAGAAAATGGGGAAGTCAATGAATAAAATACCATAAAGATCCTGACATACTGGCTTTTTTTCATGTCAAGCTAATTAAGCTTATTTGACTTGCTATAGTCAATGAGGTGCCATGAAAGATACAATCATCTTTTTGCTATAAAAAGAATTAAAATAGTCTTCAGAGGAACAAATTTATAACATCAATGGATTTAATTTCAGACAGTGAAAAGCTCAAGCAGTGCATTAAGTATAAACCCATAAGACAAAAATGGAACCTGGAGTTTTCCATGTTTAAATTATTTACTTTGAATCTACACTTGACTTGCTAGACATTAAGGAACATGAAAGATCTTTAGGTTCATTCTGTCGTCCCTGGAATCTTATTCAATTCAGGTTCACATCCAGGAGCCTGTATTTTCATGTAATTGAGGCATGGTGGGTATTGAAGGGTAGGTGGCAGATTTAGGGGAAAACTTTTCTGCTAAGAGTGCAGAATAAGAGTGCAGTTTTAGATGATCTCTCTTGGCAAGCTGAATCTTCTTGGGTATGGTTTGTTATGAGCCACATCCAAGTATACAAAAGCCTCTTTAATATGTGAACTATTCTAGTTTTGGTCTAGACATGGCCTGTGGTAGGTCAGGAATGTAAAAGCCTCTTTAATAATGAACTGTTCTAATCTTTGTGGTCCAGACATGGCCTGTGGTAGGTAAGTGTCTTGGGGTCAGTGCCCACCTACAGCAAACATGAGAGTTCAGTCTGTCCCCTGCAAAACAGCCATTTTGCTATATTATTCACATTATCTTCAAACCAGTACTTTGGTTGGTCTAGCAGTTTCTAAAAGTTGGCACTTGAATGTCTTTAAGACAACATAAACTGGCCAAAGCTACAGAACTTCCTATTGTTACCTGGCTTGATTCATGTGTTTGTGTTTCCTGCCTGTTCCTACAAGCATTCATTTCATTTGAAAAGGAAATGGACCTCATCTAGTCTGGAGAAGTATGCTGCACCTTCTTGTAGCACCATCTAGAAGGACATAGAATTAAGAGTGAAAGGGGACAGTTATGACCCCATCCAAAGAGACCAATTTTTAGCAATTTTCTCCTAAATTAGCATATGCCTATATGAATGGCTTTAAACTGATGCTTGCATGCATATTTTATTTTATTTCACAAAACTTTTTTTTTATTGGTTGTTCAAAACATTACAAAGCTCTTGACATATCATATTTCATACATTAGATTCAAGTGGGTTATGAACTCCCATTTTTACCCCAAATACAGATTGCAGAATCACATCGGTTACACATCCACATTTTTACATAATGGCATATTAGTAACTGTTGTATTCTACTACCTTTCCTATCCTCTACTATCCCCCCTCCCCTCCCCTCCCATCTTCTCTTTCTACCCCATCTACTGTAATTCATTTCTCTACTTGTTTTTTTTCCCATTCCCCTCATAACCTCTTATATGTAATTTTGTATAACAATGAGGGTCTCCTTCCATTTCCATGCAATTTCCCTTTTCTCTACCTTTCCCTCCCACCTCATGTCTCTGTTTAATGTTAATCTTTTCCTCCTGCTCTTCCTCCCTGCTCTGTTCTTAGTTGCTCTCATTATATCAAAGAAGACATTTGGCATTTGTTTTTTAGGGATTGGCTAGCTTCACTTAGCATAATCTGCTCTAGTGCCATCCATTTCCCTGCAAATTCCATGATTTTGTCATTTTTTAGTGCTGCATAATACTCCATTGTGTATAAATGCCACATTTTTTTTATCCATTCATCTATTGAAGGGCATCTGGGTTGGTTCCACAATCTAGCTATTGTGAATTGTGCTGCTATGAACATCGATGTGGCAGTATCCCTGTAGTACGCTCTTTTAAGGTCTTTAGGGAATATTCCGAGAAGGGCAATAGCTGGGTCAAATGGTGGTTCCATTCCCAGCTTTCCCAGGAAACTCCATACTGCTTGCATGCATATTTAATGTAACATTCATGTTTCATAGAATTTATGTGGCATATAGTAAAAAGTAAGTTACTTCTTACTATTTAAATTACATTAACTCATAGGAGACTTACATTTATCAGGGGTGCAACGGTAACTATTAGCAAAATCTTATAAATTTTATTTGGTCATCAATAAATCAACAAAATGGACTGAAGTCTTGTTGTTTTGGATGTTGCTGAATATGATTTTTTGTATGTGCCTTTATTATGTGTAGACTGCTGCTGGTACTGCTTCACTATAATTCATCCCTGGCTTTGCCAATGCGAAATTAATTTCTCTTGCTTTGAGAATAGTGCTTCTTTTTCTTTTTAACTTTGTATTATTTGTAATATGAAAAATTTGGGTATGTTAACTGTTAGGGTAGAATTTTTCTTAGAATTAAATATTTTCAGAGTTTGTTATAAGGAATAGAGTTTTTTTCCTACCAAACAATTTGTTTTTAACATGTCGTTCCAGTTTCTGTTACTATGGCAATGACGGCAGGGACTACAACAACCTTTCCTATGAGCAACCATACCCGGGAAAGAGTGACTGTAGCCAAGCTCACATTGGAAAATTTTTACAGCAATCTAATTTTACAGCATGAAGAAAGAGAAACCAGGTATAGTAAAGGCTGGTCAAAATTTTGTTCAGTTAAATGAACTATTGTGCTGTGAGTGGACTGTAATCATGTTTTTCATCAATAATCTGAGTATTACAGATCCCTTTATGCTGTTTTTATGTTTTCTGCACCAACAGTGCATCTGGTTATTTGTTTTATTTTCACAGAACAATTTTCTGGGGTATCCGAAGTCTTGTGCACTCAAATTCCCATAATCAATGTTTTAAGCTACAAAATTATGGTATATCAAGGGCTAGGGATGTAGCTCAGTGGTAACGTGCTTCTGTCAGTCCCCAGTACTAAAGGAAGAAAAAAAGAGAGAAAGAAAGATTACTTTTGACTCAGACAACTGGAAATATTTCATAAATGGTAGTGGCATTTAAACAAGGCTCTAAAGGAAGAATACTATTTATACATATGTAAAAGGAAGGAGAAGGAGGTACAAGAGCAGGAGGAAGGATATTAGAGATACAACAAATCACTGTCAGGTCAGGCAGTGTCCAATATAGCTCAGGCACAGGATGTGCTAGATTTCAACATCCTGGGAGCTTCAGATGCTTTGTTAATGTAACTGTTCTCTTGAGGGTGTAAAGCCTTGAAGATTTTTGAGCAGTGACCACAAATGTTTCTTTAAAAGAGAATTTTAACTGTGATACACAAAGTGGATGGACTGAGGTGGGAAATTAGAAACAGGAAAGGCTATGATGTAGTTCCAGCAAATGGAAAACTGACAACAATAGAGAAGAACTGACATGTGGAAGATTAATAGAAAATAGTAACTATTCAAATACAAAGTGTGAGGGAAATAAGTCAATGCTGGCCCAGATATTAATGCCTATGCAAACTGAGAGGGTACAATTTTGTGGAACAGAACTAGAGAAGAGTCAGATTTTGGACAGGTTTAACTGTGGATTAGACACAGGTGAGGAAAGAATTAGTGAACTAGATGATAAAGGGAAATAAAGTATAAGCATTCAGAAGTTGATTTTAGAGAGACAAAGTAGGGATATTTGAAAGAGAATTAAGAAACATGGAACATATTGAGAAGAGCTGACATATTTCTAAAGTTCCTAAAGGAAGAGAGGAACAAGATTGGAGCAGACACAAGCACAAACTTCACCACTAATAGAAGTTTTTGTAGAGTTCACTACTAGTAGAAATTGCAAAAGATTCCGTTTATTCAGAGGAAAGTGATTACAAATAGAACATCTAAATGGCTAATGCCTGGATAAATCTCAACAACTATTGTACAGATGCTCCCCTACTTAGTGATGGTTTGACTTATGATTTTTCAGCTTTATGATTGTGTGAAAGTGACATACATTCAATAGAAATTAGACTTTGGATTTTGTATTTTGATCTTTTCCAATACTCTTTCTTGATGCTGGGTACAGCTGTAGTCATCCACACTATCACAAGGTAAAACAACCAGTACTCTGTTGCCATGATGTTCAGTATGCAAGTGCATTAAATGCATTTTTAGCTGATGATATTTTCAACTTATTGAGATGTAGCTATATCAAAACTCGAAAGCAACTGTATAAAACCACAAAAAATGACAATAATGTCTTCTGTGTTTAATAATTAAAATATTTTCTAGTGACAGAATATAAGTCAAAGAGAAATAATTGAAATTAAAGATCTTTGTAGAAAGGGAATAAAGGTTAACTTCAAACTTTGACAAATTAAGTAGGTATGTTGGAATTTCTTGGGTAACCACTAAATGAATAAAAATAGTTTGTAACTTCCAAACTAGTAGAAGGAAAAAAATGACATGAGATAAAACATCAATTCAAAAGGACTCAAAAAAAGAAAAACTGAATTACTAAAAACAAAAAAAACCCTGAAATGCCAAAATAGAAAGGACATAATAGGTTAGGAAATCCAAATATATCAGTAAATGTAATTAAAGTTGCTAGAAGTGATTGGGTCATCATGGGAGAGTGAATAAAGTAAAAGGGATACAAGAAAAGAAAGACCTATGTATTTTAAAAAAACAGGCACTTAAGGTTATTCTTCATAATTTTAAAAGGTCATTGTCTTTTTTTTTCTGAAAATTTAAAGTGATTCTATTCCCAAAGGAAAGAATAAAAATATATGCTTTATTTATTTGTTTGTTTGTTTGTTTGTTTTCAGAGATACACATGAGAGTTTATTTGTCAGAGCTGACAAAGGCCATCTATAGGAGAGAGAGACCAAAATATGCTTTATTTAAAAAAAAAAAAAAGTAGATTTAACTTCGTGCTATGGAAGAAAAATTAGCTGGTCAGCTCATGTTTTTAAAAGCATATATTTTAAGAAAACATGTGATGTATTTTTGAGACCTGATTGGATAAATGCATAAGTCTAATAAATTATTTATCAGAGCAAAGTATAAGAGTGTTTTAGAAGAAAAGTTATTTTAAAAGAGGTACCAGAGAAGTCATGGCTTTCTGTTTAGATATGGTGGAAATGGTAAGTTACTGTTATCTCTTCCTAGAATAAGGAAGGATTTCATGAAGTGTAAGTCTTGGCTGGAATCTAGGGGAAGAGAGGTAGTGGTGATTTGACTTAGAATAAAGTTGCTTGTATATTGATAGTCTTTCCCAGAATAATGGTTCTATTACTCTTTTCTACAGAGAAAACTGAAAATCATTCACCAAGCAACTCTGAAGTGCCTTGCTTAATGGCAGGCACAGAATCTAATGTTAGGGGCTTAGTCCATTCTAAGGAATGGGCCCTGGGGGAAAAAATCATTGTAATGGGCACTTCAGTAGGTGCCTATGGCAAGTTGGGGAAAGCATGTGAGTGGAGAATATGTTGTTAGGTCTCATCTTCTCATCTGTGATTTACCAACAGGCTTTAGGTACTTCTGTTACAAATTTTCCATAGGTAAAAAGAATTTATTTTAATGATGGTTTAAGAAAGTGTTTACTTTTGAATATATTATCATGAATAATAAATACCAAAAATAAAAAAAAATGTTTCTGATAGTTTTCAATCAACTCTTAGATTCATTTGAGCAAATTCTGAAACGTTAGTCTTATTTGGGAACACTCCAAAACTAATTAGGACAAGTACTCCCAGATTTATATTTAGGAAAAACCAATACAATAGAAATGAAATTGTTTACTTGGAAATGAATTGCAAGATGTATCTGATAATCATCTCTCTAGTTACTTTATCCACATATCTTCCCACATCACAAATTCTTATCTTAACTGACTTTAGGGGTGCCATTTTTAAAAAAATGAGTAACTAAACTTGGCAATTTCTAGAGAAGAAAATATTCTGAAAGTAGATTATTACATATATACATATGGCTTTCCAATTTCCAAAGAATTTTAATAGAATAAGATATACAGTTGTACTGAATATCTTTTTGTTGTAACTGTTAACTCATATTAATTGTATAGATTAATGAATTTCACTTCGACATTTCCATACATATGTACATTTCCATGCATATGTACATCATACTTTTGGACATCTTTTCTTGTTTAGAAAAATTGAGTTTAAAATGAGGGACTAACAAGCTCATTTTGCTGAAAAGTGTTAGAACCAGGATTCAAACACAGAGATATCCAGCTTAAATTTTTATACTTTTTAGCATTGTTGCCTTTTTATTCTTTTATTATAAACACTGAGAAATATTACTGATTTAGGTACATTCTACATTAGATAACAGAGTGTTTCAATAGTACAATAATCACCTTTTCCAATAGTCATTTAGGCAGGAAAGTGAAGTAAACTATAAAAGTAGAGTTTACAGCTGGGGAATGTGGCTCGGTGGTAGCACTTGCCTATCATGCATGAGGTTCAGTCCCCAGCACTGAAAAAAAGAACTAATACTTTGTCCAATATAAGAAGCTAAATCCAAATTAATATTTTGAGAAAGAAAATTATTTTTAGTGATTATTTTGATCCAACTTGAAAGATTTTCCTAGCATGGCAATCTGAAGCAGTTAACTTGAATAAGTAAATGCTTTTCTTAAACAGGTATAGTTAGGAACATACTTAAAATTCTAATTATTTTTTTCTTTTGAAAAGGCAGAAGAAATTAGAAGTGGCCATGGAAGAAGAAGGATTAGCAGATGAAGAGGTAATGTATTTTATTACCTGTAATTACTATATAAAAGTAACCCCATTGATTTTTTTTCTCTTTTATCAATATTAGTTGATTTTTAGATTTCATCATTTGAATATGAACTTTCTTTGTTGCAGTCTCAGCTGTCTTTAGAAAGAGGCAGCTCTTTTTAAAAATTCCAAAAACATACTTTATCTATAGATGTGTGAAACGAGGAAGTCAGTTCTCAAAGAGGAGTCACTTAATTGCTTAACTCTTCTCAATGTTTTTTCTAAATTTTTTAAAAAGTTTTTAATAATTTTTTTTAGTTGTAGATGGACACAATTATTTTATTTTACTTATTTGTATGTGGTGCTGAGGATTAAAACCAGTACCTCACATGTGCTAGGCGAGCACTCTTACCACTAAGTCACAATCCCAGTCCTCTAAATTTTTTTAAAACCATTTACTTCTCTAGCCTAAAACTGCTACACGTAATTTAAGCTACTATATGTTTCACCTCAGTAATACCTGCCTTGAAGTGGTTTCACTACCTCCTACTTGCAGTGTTTCTGCACACTGTATCCAGAGTGATTTGTTTGAAAATAGATTTGATTATATCACTATTTTGCCTAATACTCTTCATTGCACTCTTGGGAAAACTCTGTAACATTGGTGTATAAGACTTTACAAGTTGGCTTCTGCCCCTTCTCTAGCCTCATGCCTGCCTCCCTACCCCCATACCAACCATCATTGAATCATTATAATTTTCCATTTCTCATCTTGGTCCTTGTCACATACTATTTCTGCCACTTGGAACTCTTGGTTATTCCTCCACAACTCCCTTTAACCCTTCAAGGAGCTTTTAGGTCTCACTTTATGCATCACTTCTACAAGGAATCATCCTACCTTCTGTCACAGCACTATTTCTATTGTTGTGGTACCCTCAAAATACTATCTTTCCAGAGAGCAGAGACTATAATGTCTTATTTAGCATTATACCTTCAGAGCTGGCAGGGCTACAGTAAGTATTTGAGAGAATAAATGAACAATGGGTCTTGCCTTCAAGGAGTTTTCACATCAGGAGAGATTATGTATGTGTTTGTGTGTATATTCAAAATACGTGTACATTATAGAGCCGGAGGTGTACCTCAGTAGTAGAGCACATGCCTAGCGTGCACGAGGCCCTAAATTGGATCTCCAGTTCTGCCAAAAAAAGAAAAGAAAAATAGACACACTTTGAAAATACAGAGACTTCTTCTTTTTCCTAGTTAGGGGGCCAAAGAAGTTTTGAAGTTTAAAGAATGAGTAGAATTTTGGCGATTCTGGGTCTCTTTATTTTTCACAGTAGCCAAACTGTGTAACCAACCTAGATGCCCTTCAATAGATGAATGGATAAAGAAACTGTAGTATATATACACAATAGAATATTACTCAACATTAAAAGAGAATAAAATCATAGCATTTGCAGGTAAATGGATGGAGTTGGAGAATATCATTCTAAGTGAAGTAAGCCAATCTCAAAAAACCAAAGGCTGAATGTTCTCTCTCATAAGTGGATGCTGATCCATAATGGGGGGTGGGTGGGAAAAATGGAGGAACTGTGATTGGGCAAAGGGGAGAGAAGAGGGGAGGGAGTATGGGGGCAGGAAAGGTAATGGAACGAGATGGACATCATTACCCTAGGTACATGTATGACTGCACATATGGTGTGATGCTATATCTTGTACAACCAGAGAAATGAAAAGTTGTGCTGCAATTGTGTACAATGAATCAGAATGCATTCAGCTGTCATATATACCTAATTAAAATAAAGAAAGAAAGAAGAATAGAATTTACTCTTCAGATGAGGTATATACAAAATAATGAATATGTATGCAGAATAATGAATAATAACATTTGCACTCTAAAGGGTGCATGAAGAAAATAGCAAGCTAAGTTGACAGCACCAGTGGAAAGTAAGGTTTAGAATAATTTACTAAGAGAGGTATACTTTATTTCCTGGGTGGTAGGGAATGAATCATAACTTATAGCAGTTGATAATCATAAAAGTGTCTCTATATTTAAAGAGTAAACTACCAAATGATGATTTGAAATCAACCCGTTATCCAATCTTACCTGCACCTTTCCCTCTGTGTATAATATCTTGATTTATACAAAAGATGGTTACTTTGTTAATCACTTGATTCCATCTAGAAAACTCAAATATTTTTACATTTTAAATTATTATGTATATAAAATTACTGTGATAAATATTTTAAAAGCTCATATCATTTATGCTCTTTTAATTTTATTGAGAATGGTAATAATTTAAGTTTATATTCCAATCCAGAGAGAAATAAATAAGAGCCAGCTTATCTTATTTTTGCAGTGCTGGGCATCTAGACATACTTTGTTTGCATGTCCATCTCATAAGGACATTTTTTGTTTAGTTCCACAAAGATATTCTTTTTTTCCCTTTTTCTAAATAATCTTCTAGTTTGTCTGTTAATAAAGACTTACCTATCACTCTTTACTGTATGAGAAACTAAGAGCTCCAGTCCAAGTAGAGTTCTCCCCTGGTGACTGTCATCAGTGGTAGAAACTGTGACAAATTAGGGAATTATTGTCCAGCTAAAGAGGATTGTCATTAGAGTGTGGCCAATTTCCTGTTTTTCAAAAAGAACTAGACATTTGGATTTTTATGTAAAATCACCTCTACTTCTAAAATTTTTTGGCAAATATTAGAATGTTTTAAAACAACTTGCCATCCAAATTAAATACATCTGTATGTCAAATACAACTTAACCTATTAGATATTCAGTGAACTTTTTTTTTTTTTTAACTAGTGTATAGGTACTTTTAATGAAATGGTACAATCAGGTCATCTTCTGCATTCAGATTAGACAAGTTTCTGTAACTATGCCTAAATGTACCCTGTTTCATGAGCTATAAAGGGAAAGATTCAGGATTATCTTTAAGAATTCTTAAGACATATTCATTTATGCAACTAAAATTTTTTTAAACTCACCTTATTACTTTTAAGGACATAATGCTATAGTGCCACCAAGTGGCCTTTAAAAAGCTATAGTCTTAAAATTTAAAACAAGCTAATTTGAAGAGTTGTCTTTTACGAGTAATTCAGGCTTTTAAAATTATTCAAAAGGTATTTTTGAACACCTACTATGTTCAAAAAAGGTTACTGGCATTGCATTTTATGTAAAAGGAAGCAAAAATAGTCTTCACTGTTGCTCTAGGATCCACTTGTGTTTTCACAATTATATAAATGTCATTTTAAGATGCTTTAAACTGATTTCTAAAAGATTAAAATCACCCTGCATGATTAATTCAAACTAATACATAGGTACTAGGTTTGGATACCCTTTTGGTAAACAAAGTAATGATTATTTTATCTTTGTGTTAATAATTTAATTTCTCTTATCTTATGACTTCTTATCAAAAGAAAAAATTCTCCTTCATTGTTGCCTACTTATTTTCCATAGTATCACTGGATTTTGTAATAAGTATTTGATGTGAAAAAGGACACTAAGCAAAGCTTTTCAATTTTTACATTTGACTTATTTTCACAGTGTCATAATTTCTACATTGTTGTGTCTGGGTAACTTCATTCAGCTGTCTGGATTGAAGACATAATCTCTTAATCTCATCTACTTATCTTTTTTTAATATCATTTTTTATTGTTGTTGTTTATTTTTTATGTGGTGATGGGGATTGAACTCAGGGCCTCATGCATGCTAGGCAGGTGCTTTACCACTGAGCTATCTCCCCAGCCCCTCATCTGTTTATCCTAACTTTAAGAGGTATCAGAATTCCATTGTATTGATGATACACATTTACATATTTCTAATTAATTGTTAACCTAATTCTTTAAAACATATATACAGGATCAGGAAGAGATACTTCAGTAGTTTTTTTTTTTTTTATTTAGGAGTAATATTTCTGGTCATTTTGATCTGTTTTTCCTTCTTAGCTGAATGACTAAAAACTAAGCAGGGTTCAGTTAAAGATGAGTGATACCTTATCCCTGTTTTTATGTTTATCATCTTTTAATATTGTAAGCACCTTTGAAACAACCTGATTATAAATTATCCTTTTAAATTATCTTTTTTCAATAGAAAAAATTACGCCGATCACAACATGCTCGCAAGGAAACGGAGTTTTTACGGCTCAAGAGGACCAGGCTTGGCTTGGATGACTTTGAGTCTCTGAAAGTTATAGGAAGAGGAGCTTTTGGAGAGGTGAGCTGCTCTGTTGAAGCCACCACTGATGAAATATATGTCCTAAGATAGTTTAAAATATCTATTCAAACATATTATTCCTAAATTACCACCAATGGCAAATATCAGCTTTCTTCAAAGGAACCTGCTCTTCACTCTTGAATTAAAAGTAGTGACTTGTGTGTGTGTGTATTTATTTATTTTTACTGAGGATTGAATCCAGGAACACTCTACCTTGGAACCACATTCCCAGCCCTTTTTATTTTTTATTTTGAGACAGGATCTCAAAATAAGTTTCCCAGACTGGCCTCAACTTGTAATCTTCCTGCTTCAACCTTCTGAGTAACTGGGATTACAGGCATGCATCAACATGTTTGGCTATAATATGTATTTTTATATTATAGGTACGGCTGGTCCAAAAAAAAGATACAGGACATATCTATGCAATGAAGATATTGAGAAAGGCTGATATGCTTGAAAAAGAACAGGTATGGATTCTTTCACACATGCATTGCAAAGAAACATCCATGTCTAAGATGGTAGGGTAGTGTTTATATTGGAATTTTTAAAATACATCTGTCTTAATATATAATTGATTAATTTTTGATAGCCTGTTATAGTGTTTTCCAATTATTTATTTATTTATATTTTGGTGGTATTGGGGCTAAAACCCAGGGAGACTCTACCACTGAGATACATTTCAATACTTTTTATTTGTTCTCTTTGGAAACAGGGTCTTACTAAATTACTGAGGATTTTGCCAAGTTTTTGAGACTGACCTTGAATTTAAGATCCTACTGCCTCAACCTCCTGAGTTGCTGGGATTATAGGTACATACTACCATGCCCAGCTCAATTCTTATATTTAAAATGTCTTCAAGTTTATAAATATCTATGTATTAGTTTTCTTGAGCTGCTATGGCAAAAACACTACAAGCTGGGTAGCTTATTTTCCTATAGTTCTGGAGGCTGGATGTCCCAAGATCAAAGTTCTTATAGTATTTGGTTTCTGGTGGGGCCTCTTCTCCTGACTTGCAGAAGGCTACTTTTCACTAAGTATTCACATGGCCTTTCCTTGGTGAATGAAGGGAAGATGGGGGTGGAGGGCCTCCGAGAATGAACACAAATACTCACATGAGAACTCCTGGCGTCTCTTCTTATAAGGACACTAACTTCACCCTTCATCCTCAATTAAACCTTTTTTAGAGGGCCTAGAGGTCCTATCTCCAAATATAGTCACACTGGGGTGTTAGGACTTAACTATTACAATTTTGGGTGATTCATTCAGTTCATAACAGAATTCCTTCTGAAATACCCCCTTTTCTGATTTTGGTGGAAACAAAGAATAGTTCCCAACACTCTTAATCCTGTTGCATATCAAATTAGCAGAACTAATTTCCTGAGAATTTACTGGTTTTACTATTTCCAATATCTGTTCACTGCTCTTTTTCTATTCCTTGGTTTACTCTCTGTTTCCTGGGACTTAATGCAGTTCTGTGGGGTGGCCATAATGTCTGAAAACACTGATATGTTTCCATTTCATAGGTGTTCTATATTCCCAATCTGGATGGACACCCTGTAAAACTCTAAATTGAATACATATTCTGGTGAAGGACTCAACAATAGGAGCATAAGGAGAGATGGCACCTCTTCTTAGATTTTATTTGTTTGTCCTCCCCAATTCTTACTTTGTCATTGCAGCAGTAAAATATTGATTTTTATTTCACTATGACACACTTGGATTTTCACTGCATTGTTTTGCTTTGTTCTTTCTTCCATAGCATTTATTCAGTTATTGAGTATCTACAGTATACCAAATACCATTGTAGGTCAGGAACTCTGTGTGTGTGTGTGTGTGTGTGTGTGTGTTCGTTCAGCAGTGGTGAGGGCCTTCTGAATGCTAGGCATGTGCTTTACTCCTGAGCTACCACCCCACCCTGAGATACAATAGTTAACAAATCTGATCCTTGTTCTTTTGAAACAATGGAGAGACTGCACAGACAGCTATATCAAATTGTCATGATTGATAAATATTATGCGAAAATTTCTTTAAAAGGATCGGTGATATATATGATCTGGGTTAAAGAGGAAGAATTCAGTCAGGGGAAGTTTCTCTTAGGAAGGAATATTTGATGAGAGACTGAATGATGAGAAAGAATGACATAATTAGAATAAAGGTCTCGGGAGCAAATCCAGAGACCTGAGGCAGGAATAACCTTAGTCTGCTCAGAGAGAAGGAAACCATGTGGCTAGAATTAAGTGAGGGAAAAGTGATTAGAAATGAAGTGGAAAAGGTAGGCAGTAGCCAGATCACATGGGACTTTGAAAGCCATGATCTAGAATTTGGGTTTTATTCTGAGTACAATGGGATGATATTGTTTGTTTTATTTTTTCCCCCCTGTTTAAGCTGGGCAGTAGTGTGTTTTTTTTGTTTTTTAACAAAAATGAATTCATCTTTTTGCTTGCTTATAGGCAAAGCATGATTTGAAGCACAGAGACCACTTGGGAGAGTGTATCATTTCCATCCAGGATGTAGTTGTGGCTTACACTTTGGTTACAATAGTAAAGTTGAAGAAAAATTAAAATAGATTAAGTGTGTGTGTTTGCAGGAAGAGTTAGCAGATTTTGCTCTGATGGATTATTGCAGAATGAGAGGATGGGCAGAATTGTGAGAAGAAGGGAAGAAACAAGGATAAAGTAATGGGACAAGATGAAATTGCCTAGGGAACGAGTATAGATAGAGAAGAGGGCCTGGATCCCAGCACCACACAGAAGAAGAAACTACAAAGGAGACGAGTATCTTGGCAAGGAGAAGTCTAACTGGAATAGTGGAAAATAGAATGGGAAGCAACAAGTGGAGAAGTAAGTAGCGGTAAATTCTTCATGTGAAGCAGATTAAAGAATAAATTAGTAAAGTGAGAGTTAGGGCCGAAAGGGGTTTTTTTGTTTTTGTTTTTGTTTTAGGACAAGAAATGTCTTAGTTGGAAGAATTCATTAGAAAGGAAAAAATTGAAGATGCAGGAAAGAAAGGAGAGATAACTGCAGCAGTATGCTGGAGGACAGGACCAGAAACCCATCTAGTAAAACAGAAGAAAAGCAGAGAAATGGGAATATAGAGTGGTTGTTCTGGCATTGGGAAGTTCCAGGTTTCTGCCTGAGTACAAAGGAGCAGTCACTGGTTTGGAGTAAAGGAGGTGCAGCTTGTTGGAGGTCAAAAGAGAGAAAAGTGCAAAATAGTTATCTGGAAGTGTGGGAAAGGATACTTGCTATGGCAAATGCCCACTGAGGTTTGTATTCATGAATTTATGGTGAAACCAGTTGGTAGTTGGGTGCTTTTCACCCTGGTTTCAGCTGAAGTGACAGGGTGCAAGGAACCATCCAGAGGAGAGGTTTTAGGGGACTTTGTTGATGACAATCTATGATTCCAGAGGGAAGAGGTTTGGAAGGCAGAAAGATGGAGCTGTCAAGCTAGAGAAGAGAATTATAGATAATGATTGGAACGTAAGTTTGGGTAAAAAAGATAGCTTCAGAGACTAGGAGGTACATAGGAATCTAACTTAGCCATAATAGGATAAATCCTAGATATGGTTTTAGAGGAAGGACAAAAGGTAGCAGTTAATTGAAGCTGTAGTCAAGCTGCTAGTCATGTGGCTACTGAGCACTAGAAATGTAGCCACTCTGAATTGAGATGTACTATAAATGTAAACTACACACTAAATGAAGACTCAGGGTCAAAAATATAAAATATCTCAACAATTTTATATCAATTAGATATTTAATTTAGGAATATCAGATTATACAAACTATTACTAAAATTAATTTCACCTAGCTTTTTTCTTTTTTTTGCTTTAATGTAGCTACTGGAAAATTTAAAATTACATGTGTGGCTTGCGTTATATTTGTATTGGACAGCATGGTCTCAAATATTTTGCTAGAAGTTGAGGAGCCTCTGGACTATTGTTCTTTCTTGTACAGAGGAAGTCTTACCAGCTTTGCATGCAGTCAGTTTGTGCATTTTGGAATTGTCCCCCACTTCCTACCTCATAAATTAATCTGCATTCTTTTACCACTGAATTTCATTTTATTTATTTTTTATTTTTTTAATTTGTTTTAATTAGTTATACGTGACAGTAGAATGCATTTATATACTTTGATATATTATACATAGAAGGGATCTGATTTCTCATTTTTCTGAGTGTACATATTGAGAATCACATTGATCTTACAGTCACGTATATACATAAAGTAATAATGTCTGTTTCATTCTACTGTTCTCCCTATCCCCACATCCCTCCTTTCCCCTCCCTTCTGAATTTCATTTTAGAAAACTTTTCCAATTCTACTCTGTATTTCAAGGTTTGTCACAGATACTGTAGTGCTAAACACCCCCAAAATCAAATCGCAGGCCTTGTGCTGCCACATCACCGTACATCATCCTTTCAAATCTTCTGGTCCCATTTGGGAAACATACCATGTAATTTAGCTGTAAGATATTTTTAAATAATCAAGCCAAGTTTATGATATAGTTTTTTTCCTGACAACATCACACGTAGCTCCAAAAGTTCAGGGCTTTTCCTTTACTGCCTTAAAATGCTTTGTAAAAAGAAATTGGTACAAATTTTTATTATCATTTTTTTCCTTATTGAGTCAAATCCAGAGAGAAAATAGTTTTTTGATGCCAGAAAGCAGGTTCTTTGTTCTTCACTCTTGTGCTATGCTCTCAGCATTTATTGAACCAAGCAATAACAGTAATTCCCAAAATGACTTCTCAAGCAGATCAGATTTTATTATCCTTAAAAGGCTTTCAAATATGTGCTTTCAATGTGCTTTGGACCAGAGTTCTTAGTGGTACACAGTGAAAATATCAAAAGTACAAAATCAAATCTTGTTGATAAATCCTTGAACAAAGAACATGTAAACATACTAATGCAAAAGCATCTGGAAACTGAAGTTATACCAACCTCATAAATTATTCAGTTTATGAAATTTCTAGTCTATAAAATTTTTACATAATGGTATCCCAGGTAATTATGTGTCTGACAAATCAGTAGGAAAACCTCAAAAATTTATACTACTTTGCTGTAACTAATGATTAGAGATTTTCTAACAATAACTTAATATAAAATTATTACAAATGTTCCTCCGAATAAAAGCTAACAAAGATCAAACTGGGCCCTCTTTTTTAATGGCTAAAAGTAGTTTTAGTAAACCTTGGCTTTGTGATACTAATCTACATGGCATTGTTTACTGCTTTTAACAAAGTCAAACTAATGTCCTGAATTTATATAACAAAGCCAGGATTCTTGCCCTGGTTGAGAGGTTTTAGTTGGGAAGATTGTGGACTAGTCATTACCCTATCTCAAAGGCCTTAGCTTTCCATAATATACCTTTTGATCTCATCTTTTCAACCCTAAAGATATTAGCTAAAACAAATTATTTCATGAGAGTCTCCATATTTAATGAGAATTTGAACATGCATTATGTTTGAAATCTTTTTTCAAATTCCAGTTTTCCTTCATGACAATTATGGATGCATAATTTTAAGAGGGAAACTTGAAAAATGTGTAATGTGTTACAATTATTCTTTTAAAATATATTCCTCTAGGTGGCACATATCCGAGCAGAAAGAGATATTTTGGTGGAAGCAGATGGTGCCTGGGTGGTGAAGATGTTTTACAGTTTTCAGGATAAGAGGAACCTTTATCTCATCATGGAATTTCTTCCTGGAGGTAAAGAAAACATTATAGCAATGACAAGCTGACCAAGCATATCTTTATATGTAATAATAACTTTGTTGATTAGGTTTACTTTTATAATTCTAGTTATGGGGTTTATATACTCACAGTTTTTCAGAATTTCCTTGTATAATAATATTCATTTTGACCACAAATCAGGTCATATCAAATCAAATTTTGAAGGAATGATTAGAATTGGTACATTTTAAATACTACCATTCTGGGTTCACTGCAACCCTTAGATTGTTATAAGTGTAGAGTTAAAACAAAAAGCCAATAAAATAAAAACACAAATACCCAGCAGGAAAATGACTGACAGTGTACAGAAGAGAAACTCTGGCTGCTTTATATAGGAAAATGTTCACCTTCACCTATATTCAGGGAAATGCTTTTTTTTTTTCTTTTTCTTTCTTTCTTTTTTTTTTTTTGTGTGTGTGTGTGTGTTGCTGGGGATTGAACCCAGGGCCTTGTGCATACAAGGTAAACACTTACCAACTGAGCTATATCCCCAGCCCCAGTGAAATGCAATGTAAGTAGGAATGATATATCATTTCACACTCATCAGATTATCAAAAGCCTTCAAGTCTGATAATAATGAATATTGATAAGACTGTAGAAGATACTGACCTCCTGTAAGTAGATCTCTAACTTTGATGGAGAGCAGTTTAGAGATGTTCAGTGAATCTGAAAATGCATGTGGCCTATGATCCAGTACTTTCGCAACCAGCTGTTCTCCCTGGAGATTCTCCCTACATGTGCACAAGAAATGTGCAAAAGAATGCTTATGGCAGCATCAGCATAATAGTGAAAAACTACATGCAAGACAAATGCCTGTCATTAGAAGTATAGAACAATAAAATCTGTCCAAATTATGTGATGGAAATTTTTTAACTGTAATTAAAAGTCATAAGCTCTATCTGATTCCACAGTAAAATTCAGAAACAGTGGAATGAAATAAAAACAAGCTGTGAAATTACACATAATTTGATAGCATTTAGGTAAAATTTAAAAAACCCAAAACTATAAATTTCTAGATTAATACATAAATATGTGAAACCATATTTTATAAATAAGCCGGAAGGATACACACCAAACCAAATCTATCCATTGTTACTCAGCTAAGAGGGAATGGGAAATAGAATGGGAGTGGAGGACAAAGAATACTTCTATATAGTCTTTTTTTAAAAAGACTCAAAGCAGATAAGAGAAAATATTATCAGTTATCAATCCTGTGTTGCAAATGCACTAGTGTTTACAGTACTAAAAACTACTTATTATTTGCCCTTTTTTAAAGGAAAAATTTTCTTGAAAATAAAAGACTGCCTAGAAGTGATTTCTTAAAGTGAGCTAATGTTCTATTTTCTTTGGACTAAGGAGCTCAGGCTATTTTTGAAACTTTAAAGAGTATGTCTGATTTCCTGCTGTGTTTATTCTGATTCTTTTTGCAGTTTGACTTATTTTCTTCAGCAACTTATTCTGAATGGAGTTATATTTCTTCATCAGCTTCTATCAGCTCTGTTCTGATTTGGTTTCAAAAAACTCTCTACTCTAAAACCATTGCATGTCATCAAAATTTGCTTATGCAACGTGACTTTTGTTTAGCTCCAGAGATGGTTAGAGGTGTACTGGGTGGATCACAAAATGCCAAATCAGACATACATTGTAAAAATACAAAGAAAGCTTTTGAAGGGTATTTCCTCCCCTTTTGAAGCATTTTCAGTAACATGATGCTTCCCTTTTCTTAGGTGACATGATGACATTGTTAATGAAGAAGGATACCTTGACAGAAGAGGAAACACAGTTCTACATTTCAGAGACTGTTCTGGCAATAGATGCAATCCACCAGTTGGGCTTCATCCATCGGGATATCAAGCCAGACAACCTTTTATTGGATGCCAAGGCATGTGCATAAACTGGTGAATTATGAGGTTGCTGATTAGTTTATAGAGTAAAGCTGGTTTTATGATTAAAAATATACAACTGTAATTTGAATTATTACTAAACTACATTATTTCAGAACAGCACAATAGGAGAGGCCTCTGGAGTGGAATGTATCATGGGGATATGATTTTTTTTTTTTTTTTTTTTTTGCAGTGCTGGGGATAAATCCATGGTTTTTTTTTTTTTTTTAAATCTCCTTCCATTTTATGCTTTTAAAAAAAATCCTCCTCCTCCAATATTTCTAAGTTTACATTTTTATCTGAATTTTAAGCCAAAGATTTTAATAATAATTGCATTTAAAAGAGGAGTTTATAATAAGGCCTTTTTTTCAAAGTTGATATAATCTGGTTTTACTGAAATTTTTTTTAGGGACATGTAAAATTATCTGATTTTGGTTTATGCACGGGGTTAAAGAAAGCTCACAGGACTGAATTCTACAGAAATCTTACACACAACCCACCAAGTGACTTCTGTAAGTTTGCTTTTTTATTTTGATTAAGATAGCTGGTTAAATGCAGTACTGTTAAGAAATGATAATTTTCTCCCTTCCTCTCCCCACTCAACTGAATTTACCTTGTGTTTTAGATGTTTATATGTGATTTGTCTTTTGCTAAGAGTTTTCCCCTCGTGATTATAATTCTGTCTTGCTGAAATTAGCATTTCAGAACATGAACTCAAAGAGGAAAGCGGAAACATGGAAGAAAAACAGGAGACAACTGGTGAGTTAACCACATTTTCAAGAGAGAATTTTGTGTGCTGGTCCTAAAATCTCATCTGTTTTCTACTTAATTGTTTTGTCTTCACAGTGATTAGTACTCCCTTCAATGATGGTGCTTGTTCTGGGCTCACATAGTTTTCTGTTTCTTTTTATGATTTCCTTGCCTATAAAGCAAACTAGAAAAATCTACTTTATGATTTAATTTTAGAGTACTTTATTGAGAATTAATATGAATAAGTAATTCATCTGTTTAATAGTAATTAACACTGTAAATAAAACATACTGAGTGTGTGAATGGCATGAGATTTCCATTTCCTCGTTTTCTGTGCTGTGATATAAATCCTGATACAACAAATAACAATTGTAAAAAAGTGGTTGCCCTTTTCTATGAACTTCTTTAGAGATCAAGTAAATAGGAAATTTGGGATTTCAACAGTGTTATGATAGAGTAGATACAAAACTGCCTCAAGGTGGGTATGGTGGTGCATGCCTATAATCCCAGCATCTTGAGAGGCTTCAACAGCAGGATCACAGGTTTGAGGCCAGCCTCTAAAATTTAGCGAGACTCTCAGCAACTTAGTGAGATCCTTTCTCAAAATAAAAAGTAATGGGCTGGCGTTGTGGCTCAGTGGTAGAACACTTGTCTAGCATGTGTGAGGCACTGGGTTTGATTCTCAACATTGCATATAAATGTACAAAATAAAGGTCCAAATAAAATAACACCACCTTTGTTTAAAAAAAAAAAAAAAAAGTAAAAAAGTGGTTCATACACGTAATCCCAGCAGCTCAGGAGGCTGAGGTAGGAAGATCTTGAGCTCAAAGCCAGCCTCCGCAAAAGTGAGGTGCTAACTCAGTGAGACCCTGTCTCTAAATAAAATACAAAATAGGACTGGGGATGTGGCTCAGTAGTTGAGTATCAATCCCCAGTACAAAAAAAAAAAAGAAGAAGAAGAAGAAGAAGTAAAAAGGGGCTTGGGATGTAGCTCAGCAATAAAATGCCCCTGGATTATATCCCCAGTAACCAACCCTCCCACACCCCCAAAAAATTTGCCACAGGTAAACTTCATTATTCCATTAATGTAGAATTACACTACTTTTAACCCCATACTATTTCTCCTCTGTTACTTAGCAAATTTATAAGAATTGTTTCCCCCTTTTCCTCTTTCCCTTTATCCAGAACCATGAACATTTGTAAGATGAAGAATGTGCCTTTTGACTTTGTTTTTCCACCTTCTCATACAATGTCTGGCACATATAGATACTCTATAAATATTTGTTCACTTCAACCAAGTAATGAATGGGGATTCTAACTCACCATTCCTTTAGGGAAGTAAATAGACTGAAAAATAATAGTTTGACACCCTCTAAAACCAAATAAACAAACTTTGCATGATTTAACTTATTCTCTTACTAGACCAAGTAATTGAAAACTCTTGTAAAAACAGTTCAGTGTTTTTTAAATGTATTGAGCTATGCATTGAGGAAAACTCCATTCTGCTTTTCAATGTGTCACTTTTAGGTCATATTTTACAGCTGAGAAAAGAATTGCAGTATTGCCTACTTTTAAAGGAAAATAATGAATACTGGTTAAAAATATCATAGGAGAATTCTTTATCTCCTATTTACAGAGTTTTCAAAGGTAATCATAGGTTAATGTTCTCATGGCCAATAGTTATTCTGTGTTGTATCAGGGTTTCCCAAGGAAGAAGTAAAAAAGTACTTTATTACTATTTAGGACAGGAAATTTCCTCTGCCCACTAACTGCCAATCATGTCTTCTCCCAGATTGTTTAGATGACAAAATCTGCTTGTTACATCAGAAATAGCACCTAGCTCTCATTGAGAACTACTCCTTAAAAACAATTTACTAAGAATGAAGCCAGGTGCAGTGAAGCATGCCTGTAATCCCAGAGACGGAGGCAGGAGGATCAAAAGTTCAAAGCCAGCCTCAGCAATTAATCGAGACCCTAAGCAACTTAGCAAGACCTTATCTCAAAATAAAAAATAAAATGGACTTGGGAGTGAGGCTCAGTAGTAAAACTGCATAGCTTCCTGAATGGATAAGAACATCATGGAATTACAATGAAAATACCAGATGCTTATAGTAGTTTTTAGTTTACAAAGTACATTCCTTTTCTTGTTTTATTCTTGTTTTATCAACTCTGTTGTGGCAAGTTTTATTACCACAGATTTTTGTAAGCAGAAGCTGAGGCTCTGAGAGCTTAAATAACTTGCCCGAGAACACAATAGTAGTGACAGGGCAGCCAGGGTTCAACCTTTTCATTCTGTTTTGAGATGGACTTAGGGCTACACATATAATGACTTAGTTGAGCATCTTAGGAAGCAGAAATCATGTATTCTGTAACATAGAATCTGACTCACCTTGCATATGATAAACATATGGAATAAGTTATTAAAGGGAAAATTAACTTCTCTAAACATTACTTTTTTCAGTAGTAAATCATACTCAGGTGGTTGGGATTTTTTTTGTTTTATTGTTTTTTGTTTTTTAAATGTTCTGAATGTTGGTTTGATAAGCTGCTCCTTTACAGGCATATTCCACAGTTGGGACACCAGATTACATTGCTCCAGAAGTCTTCATGCAGACTGGTTACAACAAGTTGTGTGACTGGTGGTCTTTGGGAGTGATTATGTATGAAATGTTAATAGGTATGTTCTGTCGTTAACTTATATACGTGATGTGTGCGTTACCTTGAGTGCTATTGTTTGAACATGTTACAGATATCATGGGCTAAAGTAGTTTAACTACTTTAAACCTATTTCTAACCTTCTGCAATGTTAAATACTACCAAATACCAAAGGACTCTTTAGGGATCCTATTGAAGGAAGGCAGTTATTTACCTGGACATTCATGTATCTGCATGACTTTTCAGGTAAAATAAGGAAGAGGGGTACTTTAAATCCTTTATTGACTCTATTGGCAATTTTATTGTAAATTGATGAATGGTGGTATTTTTTAAATTAGATACAGCATTCAGCATTGTTTCTTGTGGCACATATTTAGTAGGTACAATTTAATTAATCACAAAAGCTGACAAAGCTTTTGTTTTTCTTTATGACATGTAGGCTATCCACCTTTCTGCTCCGAAACGCCTCAAGAAACATACAGAAAAGTGATGAATTGGAAAGAAACTCTAGTATTTCCTCCAGAAGTACCTATCTCTGAGAAAGCCAAGGATTTAATTCTCAGGTTAGTGTTTAAACCCCTAGAGGAATTCAGGGTGTCTTAACACTTCACAGGTACCTAAAAGATCTGTTTCACTTTTGTGTGTCAAGAGAGGATACCACTGATCTACATAGCCAAAGAAGTCAATAAAGAAAAGGGTTTTTTTTTTTTTTTTTTAATGTAAACTCTTAAAAGGAAGTTTGCAATGGAAAAAAAGTAGGAGTCAAGAAGAGGGAAGAAGTCTTGTATTGTTTCAGGGACTGATACACATTAAAAGCAAAATGTCACTCCTGTTAGAATGCAGTGACCTAATCCTATTAAAGAGAAGAGGGAAAGGAAATTTGTTAGTGGTAGGAACTCCTTTTTATGAAAGTCTGTATATGAAATCATCTAAGCAAAAGATTCTATTCTGTTCTATAACTAAGATGTATTTTGGTACTGCTGTGAAGAGCTGGAAGGATTATAAATGGAACAACCTGTGAGAACAGCCTGTCATTAAAAAATCTTTAAACTATATATGACCTTAGACCTAGCGACTCTGCTTTTAGAGTTTTGCTTATGCAAATAATTTGATGTATATAAACATTTAAGTATGTTTATCTGGATATTGTTTTAGTCATGAAAAATTGGAAACCATCTAAATGTTCAACAACAGCAGACTGGCTACATACATTGTAATTTATAATAGTTATCCCTAAATACTACAATTATGGGTGATTTTTATTTTCTCCTACATTTTCCACAATAAACATAGTAAGCGTCAAAAAAAATTTTGTAATGCTTTAAAAAAATAAAAAAATAACCTGAGTACTTTAGATATAATTTGTATATAATTTGTTTTCTTGTTATAGATTTTGTACTGATTCTGAAAATAGAATTGGGAATAGTGGAGTAGAAGAAATAAAAAGTCACCCCTTTTTTGAAGGCGTAGACTGGGGGCATATAAGGTATGTTGCTGGACTTTGGGGGAGAAGTCTGAGTATTATGAGTTTCTAGATTTGGTGATTAATTTACCTTCAATTCTGCTAGATTACCCCTAGCAGAAGAAGTACCACTATTATAATGTTATCAAGTCAATGTTTTCTGGGTTATATAAGTGAGACTATACTGGCTATATAGCTAAATGACTTATCATAGGCTAATGTCCACTGTAAAGGAAAAAAACACATTTTGCTTTTTAGAACCTTCTACTTAATATCTTAGTACCTTTTACATAATCTGGTAAACTTAACACCCAATGTATTCATTAAAATATTGTTGAAAATTCCTTAATGTAAGCCAGGTGTGGTGGCACACACCGGTAATATGAGTGGCTTGGGAGGCTGAGGTAGGAGGATCTTGAATTCAAAGCCAGCCTCCACAAAAGTGAGGTGCTGACCAACTCAGTGAGACCCTGTCTCTAAATAAAATACAAAATAGGGCTGGGGATGTGGCTCCTGAGGTCAATCCACAGTATCCCACCCTCTAAAAAATATACAATAAAAACTGATAGTTTCTTTTAATGATTTTTATAGCCAAATATTTTTAAAATGATAAGAAGACACTTTCAGGGTCTGGGATTGTAGCTCAGTGGTTGAGCACTTGCCTTACATGCGTAAGGCATTGGGTTCAAGCCTCAGCCACCAAATAAATAAATAAATAAAGATATATGTCCATCTACGACTAAAAAAAAAATATTTTTAAAAAAGGCATATTCATGACTATTTTTTAAAAAAACCTAATATTCTTGATTCTCTTGAAATTCATACAACTGAGAAGTATTTGCATTCACATTTCATCACAAATATGTAGTACCTTGTTTTCCCAAATAACTTTGAATTTTTGGTTCTTCTACTAGAAGAATTCTAGTCCTTAATTACTTAAGTAGGATCCAATCCTCACAATATCCTATTTTATATAACTGTAAAATCGGTCACTCTTTTTCTACTTAAAAATAGCATGAAAAAGTCTTGGTACAAGAATTTTAAAATTCTAAGTAAATGAAAACATTTTTGTAAAAATTTATACTCAACTATTTTGAAATCCACTGAACTATTCTCATATCCACAATAAATGTCATTGGCCTTTTTAATTAGAAAATAGCACACAAGATTTGTAAGAATTATTTGTTGGAAAATAAAGAATTCAGGAAAATTTCCCATGGTTACTCAGTACCTTATTTTACAGGGAAAGGCCAGCAGCAATCCCTATAGAAATCAAGAGCATTGATGACACTTCAAATTTTGATGACTTCCCTGAATCTGATATCTTACAACCAGGTAAGATAATCTTATAACTCATGCTATTAAAAGTCTATGAAGGTGACATTTTACTAATGAAATTTCTATATTCTTGATTAATTTTTCTATCTTTCTAGTGCCAAATACCACAGAACCAGACTATAAATCCAAAGACTGGGTCTTTCTCAATTATACCTACAAAAGGTTTGAAGGGTTGACTCAGCGTGGCTCTATCCCCACCTACATGAAAGCTGGGAAATTATGAATGAAGATCACAGTCACCCATAACCAAGAGAACTCAGGTAGCTGCATCACCAGGCTTGCTTGGCATAGGTAACAAGACACTGAAATACCCTGAAGACGGTGGTGCTTATTGACTACAAGAGGAAATTCTACAGGATTAGGATTTCTAAGACTACTACAGGAATTGGTTGGCAGTGCCAGCTGGCTTTTTTTTTTTTTAATATTTTATTGATTTTGTTAACTTTATTATACGAAGGTACTGGAATAAAAGGAACGTACATCCCTTTCTAACTGCACTGCCTACGTGCGTATTAAGGTCCATTCTGCCTGTGTGTGCTTTGGCTTTGAACTGTAACACCTCTAATCAATTCAGGAGAAATACATATCATTTAAAGCAGCATAGGCTAACCTGTAGGTAACACTGCAGTATTGCTGATTCACTGCAAATCTTATGGGTCTAGATAATCAGTAAAAGCCATCTTCCATAGTTAGAACATTTGCCCTATTGGTTTGGACATCTGTAGAATATATATGAAGACAATTTCTATAATGGTTTTAAGAAATTTAAAAAGAGATACACTGGTTCTTTAAAAATAGAATTTTATCATCAAATTATTACACAAACTCCACTGTAGGGAGTGACAAGTTTCTAATAAGGAAAAGGAAGTTTTAATACTTTCACTCAAGAACTCCACTAAGATATTTACTTTGTGGTCAGAAATACTGATGACCTTTATATACGTAGTCTGTATATTCATAGGGAGATGTACTGTATTATACAAAATGTAAAGTTGCTTTTTTTGTGACAAGAGGACTTCTTTTTTTAACAAGAAGACATGGCATTATTTTAATTTGATTATGGTGAGTTGAATTTCAGAATTGACCGTAAAGGCTGCTTGTAGAACCTAGCGTATTTTTATTAAACTATTTTTTTAAATGTCAGACTTCTGATTATGTAAATGGACTTATAAAGAACAAAGAGCTATTTACTTTGGTTTTATAGAAAGTTGTTACATATCATGGCTAGTTACCTTTTATTTCTTTTGATCAAATTTTTTCCTTTGATAGTAGTTGTATTATTGTGCCATTATTTTCTTATGCTCCAAATGTACCAAAGATCCTAAACAGAGTGGATGCTCACAGCGGAATAGAATTTTACTTTCCTATGGGAATGCTGTATTCAGACATGAAAGATCTCTCTCTGATGGAGATCAGCTTATTTGAGGGCAGCACTATTTGGGTTGAGTTGCACCACTCTGGTTAATACCAATAGAAATAATAAAGTAAATGCAAGCCAAGAGATTGTTATTAGAGGAAGAGAGCAAATGTCAGCATCAAATTCTTTGGGTATTTCTCTAAGAATTAAATAATCTTTTCTTGCTCAACATTTTAATTCTAAAATGACTATCCCAAGGTTTTGGTTTCATATGTACTAGTTGAAGATAATACTTTATTAAAGAATGGCCTAATGTTTATCATAACTGTTAAATGAATGATCTGTGATCAAAATCTAAAGTGATGATTTATTTGTAGGATGTCTTTCGTAAAGTGAAAGAATTGCATAGGAGCATTATACAAATCTACAAAAACTGATGACTGTTGCTAAGTAACTCCCAATGTTTCAGTAAGGCCATCCTGATGTGTCCCCCTCCTTTGGTTTGTTTCTTTATTTTTAAGCATTTGTTGAGTACTTTTTATGTGTTCATCTAGTAGTTTATCTCCATTTTTCTAGTTAGATCATGTGACTGAATATTTAGGAGAGAAAATTGTGAAAACTCTGGAGTTATCTCAATTTAACTGATTTTTCTAACTGCCTTTAATTTAAAAAAGAAAAAAAAATTCTTTAACTCTTGCTGGGGTTCATGAGATTTTCTCTCTCCAACACAGTCCCTTTTAAAAGGGATTTTAATCAGCAAAGATCCCTAGCTACTTGACATATTCTCTCTCTGAATTGTTAAAATTTAGAACATTTACAGTGACAATTTGCTGCAACCATGATTATTTCCTGTTTTCTTTATTTAAATTTCACATTTTCTTTTTAAAAAGGACTGTTTTGCTAGTGTGCTAATGAATAGTTAAGACACAAAGAAACTGCAATAGTCTGTAGTTTAAGTATCATAACTATGCTAGAACAGAAAGAATACCACTAATTCAAGTTGACTGAGAGACTGCAATCAATATAAGGAGCATATAAGAACAGAGCATTTTAGTTTTATTTCCTTCATTATTATCAGAAACAACTTAGAAATAGTTATGATTTCTTGGCATTAGAAGGGACATTTTGGAAAGTTTGCTTTGTTTAGAGCCTCATTCTTTTCTGGAGTTAATAGAGTGGTTCACATCTTTAGGGATTTCTCCTCATCAGAAGCGTTTCTTAAGTGCCTCTCTCAAAGCAATTAAAGATTGTGTCTGCCCTCTGGAAGCTACGAATTTGATTCATGATGCAAATTAGTTAGATAATTTGCAAAGTACCCTTGAGATTGAATTTTCTCTATTATACATTTCCCAAATTTCAGGTGAATCATTTAATTTAAATAACAGAACCCTATCTAATCAACTTCGCATAATGACATTTTCTTTAAATTAGACTCTATTTTGAATTAAAAGAATTTTATTATAAATTGTGTGCTTTTGGTTTTTTAAGTATATAGAAAGCTTGTATAATTCAGATTTTTCGGTTTCCTGATTTAATGTAGACATTGACTTTTTTATTAAACCTTTGTATTAAATCAAATTATGATATTTTTCTTTTATGAATTTATTATATTAACATGGCTTTAATTTTTTAACTGTATTAAAGCATTGTGTTGTCTGAAAATAAGGAGTCCACTTACAAATCAGCCACTTCTAAAACGGAATATATAGTTGATCTAAGAAGCTAGTTAGCTTAATGGAAAGTACCAAATGTGGACTATATAAAATGTTCTTTGCTAAGGCTTCAGATGGGGTTTCACTTATTTCCATAATAGCATCATACTTCAATGTTTTGTGTTTTTTTTTGAAAACACCTGCATATCTTTATGTAAATCGAAGTTTTAAAATATTTTAAGTACATTTTTTTTTTTTTATGTTTTAGTGTAGAAAAGCTTTAGACAATTAGTCTCAACTGGTAGGAGAAACAGATATCTTTTGATGGTCTGCAAATAAATTAATTGAGGTTTTAATCAGTAAAGATCCCTAGCTACTAGAAACATTCTTTGAATTGTAAAAATTCAGAACATTCAAAATGACTGTTTTGCTGCATCCATGATTATTTCCTGTTTTCTTTATTTAAAATTTATTTTCTCTTTAGAAGTGCACTTATTTCTGAAAAATCTTAATGAAACAAACACTTAAAACAAATATAAAAACAAGACATTTGGGACTATTAGAGATATTTTAGATTTTTATGACAATGTGAGGGGATATTGCTGCTTTAAAAAGGAATAAAGTAATAAAAATATATCTTAGTTATTTTTTTAAAAGCAATATAATCCAGCAATTGTCTAGAAAAATAGTCATCAGGCTATTGAGTTCAGTGTTTCAAAAAAAAAAAAATGTTTTGGTGGCACGAGGGCTTTTTCACTGAAGGTAAGACAAAAATAAAAACTATGTTTATAAAATTTCTGTTGGTGAGGTGTTTTTGGTTTTATTTTTGAGTTTTGAGATAGGTGTTATCCAAAACTCAGGAAAGACTGTTTTGTGAATGTAAATTGCAGAACAACTACTATACTTAAGGATCACATCAAGAACAAAACAAACATTTGAAGTTTCATTTATATTCCATTTAAACTATCAAGAGAGCTCGAGGTGTAGCTCAGCAGTAGAGCACTTACCTGCTTCACAAACAACAACAACAACAAAATCAGACAAGTTCATGTTTGAAATTGTTCAAATTTGTAGCTAAAAACATAACTGCACAAATTACAAATTCTACTTTTAGGCACTTGCTGGGCATATAGCTTATATACCCCACTAAATCAAAACCAATTAGCAAGCAGTATATTGAAAATGTCTCAAAATAACATGGAGGAGAAAGATATAAGTGGCTCAGATACCACTACATTCTGTCCTGTGGAAGACACTGACAGACAGTCAATCATGATCTGTTCCACTGAGTCCAGAGGGAGGCAGTCAATCCTGTTCAGCCTTGTTGCACTCCAGCTCTTCCCTGACACACATCATTTTAATAATGCCATGGTAAGAAAAAACAGAAAAATACTAAATGTCAGAATTTAGGCAAGAGAAGAAGCTTGGAGACTCTAAATTCAACTTTCAAAAGAATCTAGTGATACAAAGAACTTTATAAACAAGATGCTTTCACTTAACATGATTTGTTTTTTAACAACTATTCTATAAAGAAAATTACCATTCTATAGATAATAGTCATAAGACTGAGTGATTGTGATATCCAAAATATAGGTAGTAAACTACTCTGAAACCTAAATCCAGTGCACCTTCTCCTCCAAAACATACAGCATGTCTCATTGACAAATTACCCCCATATACTTCTTAGAATACAGAAGAATACATGGGGTAATGTTTCAAGAGTTATTACTTAGAATGCTTATTGTTACTGGGAGTTGTTACTTGGACTTCAGAGACGGAAGACACAGGTAAAAGTGACTTCAGCAATATGGAAAATGAATATCTCACATAACAGGAATACACAAGACAGGGCTTCCAAGGCAGTCAATTCAGCATCTCAAAAACATCACTGACACAGGTTCTTTCCATTTTTTTTTACTTTGCCATCCTCAAAGTGTTGGCTTTGTCCTTGGTCTTGTTTTCTCAGAAACTAGATAGCTGCAGGGACTCTGTATCCCATGACATATAAGGCCTTAAAAAGAAAATTCTGGGTCTGGGTGTGTGTGTCTCGGTGGTAGAGCACTTGCCTAGCATGCACAAGGCCCTCAGTTTGACAAATGACCTTGTGTACCTCCTTTTTTGAATAGCAAGGAAAACTTTCCAAAAACATTTTAAGCAAAGTAATCCTCACATCTTATTGGCCATGATTAGCTGTCCTTTACTAAGCCAGTGCTAGGCCTCACTATTGATTTAAATCAAGACTCACGTTCCTAGTATTGGATGAGGTTCACCTAAAGCACAAGTCCACATGGTACCAAATTAGGCTTATTCTGACAAGCTACAAGGTAACCAAAAGGGTGTCAGCTCTATGGCAGTGGTTCTTACCTGAAGCTGTAGCTCCTAGATTCTGTTGCTGGATGTGCATTGCCTATAAAAGAAGAGAAGTCTGGTTCAGTGACATCTTTCCTGACCCATCTGTAAAACTGGATTACTGAGAACCATAGTGCTAGACCATAGCTCAGCAGCTTGGATTTGTTGGGTCTCTAGACATCAAACAATGAGGATGGACATATGGTCCAGTGACCAAGGCTTGCTCTCTTTAGTACTTTTGCCATTTCTCCCAGCTCCTGTTCATCAGCAGACTGTGTCTTTGTTGGTCCATCTCCTCTAAAGCTATTACAGTGGAAATAGAGACCCTTGTCAATTTAGTTCCTTCCCAGATCCAGCCAGGGGTGCAGTGGTCTAATTACTGTTGGCTCAATTGCTTTATCTAAATTGGGAAGATAGTTTTTGACTAGCCTTTAAATTAAAAGGTTCATGATCAAACTCCCAAACATAGAATGACTTAAATCTCTGACAAAGGGAGAAACTCCTAATAGGAAAGGGAAGCTGTCCAGTTTGGGCCTAACATCTTTTATTATTCCTTGTCCTGTTAGGTAAAATAATCTTGAACAGAACCTGAAGAAACCTTCTGTACCCAGAGAACTAAGGAAGCCCTGAGACACCAGGCCTGCTTTAAGTGTCTAGAATCTACAAAAATAGATATTAGTGCAGGCTTTGACATACACAATCCCTAAGGGGCAAATGACAGTAAGCAATAACTCCACATAGAAAGACTTCTGCACAGTGATTTCTTCATGCTTGTCCTAAGTTTTGTTCCTTCCTGCAGTTTTTTCAGAATTTTGGTGTCTTGCCACTGAGAGAAATACCCCCTCCCCAACACACACACACACCTACTTTATCCTCTGCAACAATCTAAGATTAAGAAAATTCATTTTCTTAAAATATTTTTTTTAGTTGTAGATGGACACAATATCTCTATTTTTTATTAGTTTTTATTTTTTTTAAGTGGTGCTAGGGATTGAACCCAGTGCCTCATCCATGCTAGGCAAGCGCTCCACCCTTGAGCCACAACCCTGGCCCTTAAGGAAACTTATTTTTAACAAGGTAATATTTTCTATAGTACTCTAATCATCTCAGAATTGTTTCAAAATCAACTATGATACCAATTTGAAATAAAGATTTAATGTGTCTCACCCCATACCTAACATCAGAATCTCTGAGGGTGGTTCGAAGTTCTGCACGTTCTCCTATACATTGGTCTTAAGGGATCACTGAGCAAAGAGGGAAAGATCATTTTTGGACTTTTCCAAAAGGAAATAATGCATGCTTCATTGGTTATTGTGAGAACATCTATGTAAAGTAACTGCATAGTAGGTGAGGTTAAAAAAAAAGGGCGGGAGTCAACTTTTACAGTAGTGCCTAGAATATGATAGGTGCTCAATAAATATCTGTGATCAAATGAATTCAATAACTGCATTTTGTGGGTGACCCTACCTTCCACCCAAGGCCAATCTCAATATTTTCACTTTTAATAAAAACAAATAATAACCCCAAAATCATTACGAAGGATGTTACTTTTGCTGAATTTATTTTCCAAGAAAGTAACGTGAAAGGTTTCGCATTACACAATGAAGTTCCCCCATAACCTTTTAGAAGATGTTTCTTGAATTTCCACTCCCTATGGCAACTGCCACTGCCCTCCCCTAACCTGTCACTCCACCTTTTCTTTCTCTTAAGCGACTCTCCTCCAAGTATCTCTGCTTTCCTCCCCTTCTTAGGCCAAACTCCAGCTGATCTTTACCACACCGGAAGTCCACTACAGGTCTGTCCCTTGGTACACACAGGGCACTCATGGCCTTGTTTCTTCAACTGTACTCCCATCCATCAAACAGCTCAGCAGATCCAAGTATCTTCACATCTTCCCCAGGATTCACTCTCCCCAGGCTGCTGGAGACAGGGTAGGATGAAAGAGTAGGCTTAAATATTACTGGTTCAGTTATTTTCCCCAATCCACTTAGAAGCTTAAAAATTCTTTTTATGCATCATTAGAAATAATATCTTCAGGTTGTGGCTCAGTGGTAGAGCACTTGCCTAGCACGTGTGAGGCACTGGGTTTGATCTTCAGCATCACAAAAAATAAATAAATAAAATAAAGGTTTAAAAAATATAACATTTAAAAAAAAGAAATAATGTCTTCGGTTTAACTCCAAAGCAGATGAATATTTTTGCCTTGAACCAAATAAAAAATTTCTAAGTGGCCTTACGGTAAACTATTGTAAATAAATTACACTGTTACAATCCCTGCAAGAGATTGAAAAGGATGGAGTTTATAGTTCCTGAAGCAGTGGTTCCTAGATAGGCAAAAAATACATGCTCTATCTTGAAAACAGTACCATCCTTGCCTAAGTACTTAACAGTGAAACAAAATAAGTCCACTCAAGGATAAACAAGGGTTCTTGGAGAGCAAGGCTATTCCTGGGCTTTTGGCAAGGGGATAGTGTTGACCAGAAGGTTCTGGGAATCATATTTCAAATTACTTTTATCACATTTTCCCCAAGGAGAAAATAAGAAAACAACTGGTTGGAAATGAAAGATTACCTTCCTAGCTATCTGGCAAGACATTGTGTGGCTTCTTATCTCTTCCTTATCCTGTGAGATATTTTGTAACTATTCCTTTAAAAAAAAAAAAAAGAAGGAAAGAAAAAGAAAAAGAGGCAGATGTGGTGGTGGTGCACCCTTGTAATCCCAGTTACTTGGGAATCTGAGGCAGGAAGGACTGCAAGTTCAAGGCAGGCCTGAGTGATTTATCAAAACTGTGTCTCAAAATAAAGGGGCTGGGGTTGTGGTTCAGCAGTAGAGTGTGTGCCCAGCATGTGGGAGGCCCTGAGTTTGATCCTCAGCACCACATAATAAAAAGTAAATAAATAAACAAACAAACAAATAAATAAATATTTAAAAATTAAAAAATAAATAAATAGAATTTTAAAAGGGCCAGGCCTGTGCAAGTTTCTGGGATTGGCTGGAGAACCACAAGAAAGATGGGGCACTTCCCCCACCATGTTTTAGAAAATAGAACCCAAGAGTATAAAGAAATAGCAAGTAGAAGATAAACCTGACTGATCAGGAAAATACATATTAAGCATTGAGAGGAATTTGTCCCACAGAATCCAATGGGCCGGTTTTACTGTGTTATTACACTTCCTGCTTTCATAGTTCAGTGTCTGGGTTACTCCTTTCTTGCTTCCAGGCTTTTGGTGGAAGTGAATCATCATTTCTAAGGAATGAAGACTGCAATGATTCACGGGCAAGCTTATTGGACACCTCACGCTGCAAGAGCTCCTAAGAAGGAGACCTGCTTCTACTATTTACTGAGTGACCCTGGCCAAAATACTCATCAGGTCAGAACCTCTGCCTCTGTACTAAGACGGGAATTACAGGTGTTTAACTGCCTCACCAAAGATTTTGTGAGGGTCACTGAGACAATAGGAGAAATACTTCATAAGCAAGATGACTAAAACAGGATCCCAGCAATTCTGCCTCAGCGTCAAAATGGCATTTAACACATACCCAGGTGTAAGAGATTTCAGCCTCTCTACACAACCTTACCAAACCATCTCAAAACCGGGCACTTGCTAGGGAAAGCCAGGGTTTGAACACATTCTGGGAGACCTAGGGAGGATCTTGAGACTATCTGCCAGACTCTTGGTGGAATTACTCTTTCTGAATGCCAGCACAAGTTATTGTTGGTGGAATTTGGGGTGGGGTTCCAAGTAAAAGCTAGGAATGTTTTAAGAATGGTTTTCATTAGGGTGTGTCTTTGAGAGTGATGGGGGAGTAGTTTTCAGCAACTCTTTTTAAGTGCATGAAGTCCCAGTTTCCACTTAAGACCTCAACAGTCATCCTGTCACCTACTTCTGCTAGGGAACACACTTCCAACCCCCTTGCCCAGATTCTACTAATGGCCATATGAACTGCCCTCAGGATACACAGCAGCTAGTTAAGACTGTACTTGTGTCCCGGTAGGAAAATTATTAGATTAAGGCTTCCAAGTTTTAGTATTTTTTCCACTGTTCCTTTGCTCCACTAACCTCTACTAGGCAAAGTGTATCCAAGGACTCCATCCAGGGACCAGTGGGAAGAGAGCACTGAACCAATGTATTCTAGAAATGTCATAGGATGTAGGACTGTCAAGAGATCTCCAAAGGATCTTACATACGGATTTACCCAACAGTTCTAGGAGCCAAAGCGCCTTCCTCAGGGGAGCCCCTATCTGACATCGGCCGGCTCCTGTCTGCAACTAAGAGCTGGGTCCTGGGAAGACTCTTCCCGCACTCCCCAACCCGCGCCTTCCGCTACTCGACGATGCAGACATCTTCATTCACCATCGCCACCACCCCCGCCAAGGGCTTACAGCTTCAATAAAACACGATCGTGGGAGCCTGTTTTCAATCGGCGGGTTTCGAGAAAGGTTCTCTCGGCCTTTCAGCGCGGGACTCCAGCGGAGGGGGTCGGTGGGGCGGGGCGGGGCCCACTGTGCTCCGCCCCGCCCGCGCGGTCCCTTTCACCAGCTCCGCAACCCGAGGCGCCCAGACCCGCGGGCGGGCGCGCCCCAGTCCGCAGGCCCAGTGTCCGCGGCCGGCGGGGCAGTGAGGCGGCGTCGGCTGTGCGCCCCGGGGCTGCGGTGGCGGCTGTCGCGGAACCAGGCAGAAGCCCGCAGGTGCCCGGCTCCGGGGCCGCCGGGACCCGGGCAGGGCGGGCCCCGGGCTCCTCCATGCTACCAGCCCCGGGGCTGCGGAGGTGGCCGGGAGGTGCCCGCGATGGCGGCAGAAGAGGAGGCTGCGGCGGGAGGTGAGATTGCAGGCGGTCGGCGGTGGCTCCAGGTGGGGCGCGCGGCGCGGGGTTGTCCCCAGCCTGGGCTCTGGGCAGCGATCGGCCAGCACAGCGACGCCAGGTCTGCCCACTTTGCAGCAGGGAAAGGCCGGCGCGCGTCCCCTCCGCCCCAACATCTCTTCCGATGGTCTCTGGGACCACGGCCGTCCCTTAGGGCACTGGTGCTGCTGGGCGCCCGGGGTGCCCTCTCGGGGAGTGGGACTTAGGGAGTGGAGCCCGGGAACGCCGCCGGCTCTCAGCAGCCTGCAGCGGGTTTCCAAGGTGGGCTTCGATCCTCCTGCCCACCGTCACCCTGCGATGGTGAGCGACCTTCTTGCGCCAACCCTTGGGCGCCCACCGGGGCGTCTGCCTGCAGTGAACTTCAGATTCTTTTTTCTTTTGAACAAAGTAATTGTCTTCAGTACTGGAAGGAGCTCGGCTTCTAGGAGCCCATCCCCGCTAAGCTGGCAATACTCGTTTCCAGAACTGCTCCCCGCCCCCCGTGGGGGGAACAGGTGAGCGCGCGGAGGCAGGTCCACCACATTTCGCACCCTCCAACACCAGCGGGTTCTGCGATGTACCCCCAACACACCCGACGAGCGCCCGGCAGCCCTCGCCTTTACCTTTACACCTTGGGTAAACTGACCAGTGGAGTTGGCTCTCCCCTGCCCAAGCCCCCGTGGTGCTGGGATCCCACCCAGGGTCTCACGCCCGTTAGGCAAGTGCTCTACTCACTGAAGAGCACCCCGCCCTCCGTCCACCTTGATTTGTATTTTTGAGGAGCTTTTGTGAATCGAGTTGGGAGTTACACTGTCTTTTCCTCTTGCTTGTACTCTCTGGTAGTATTCTGTGGTTTCTTCATGGGACCGTGGTGACCACTACTCTCAATTATAGAATAATTATAAAAAGCTGTTATTTAAAGCAGATGGGAGGCAGGGGAAAAAAACAAGTAGCTAAAGGAAGGCAGGCAGAGAGAAGTCATTTGTTTAAATGACCACTTTCCTTGTGGAATATGGTGATGGAGTTTTAGATTCTTCTCTGAAAAATGGCACTGAGAAGAGGTAGCTTTCAAAATTTAATGCAGTGGTGGGAATGTAAATGAAGGGACATATCAAAAATTCTATGGTTTGAATATTTATAGTCTTCCCAGATGATGCAAAGACATGGGTAAACTTTTCCTCTCTATTCTGGCTTGTGACTGAGCTCTGCTTTATTATGTCAGTAAAGCTAAATCCTTTTGCTTTAGTTTCCTCCTCTATAAAATGAGGCTAACTGTAGTTATCTGCTTTATGGGATTGTTAGGATTAAATGAGATATTATAAATGTGTATAAAATGCTTAGGTCAGTACTTGGGAAATAGTAAATGCTCTGAAATATTGGCTTAATGTAATGATTCATTTATAGCTTCAATTTGCTTGGTGAAATTAATGAGTCCTGTCTCTTCCATTAAGAAAGTGTTGTCCCACATGAGTTAAAATTGGGCTTAAAAAGAAAAGAAAAGAAATACAAGTGCAGCTAGTAGTTCTAAAAGCAGCTTTCCTCAGATAAGTCTTATGGACTTGTGAGAAGTTTTTAGATAGTGTATTTCTTTCTGTTTAGCTGAATACCAAAGGTGAAGCAGATAACAATCAATCAAAATTAATCTTAGTAAATGGTTCCATGGAGGCTGAAATTATTGAGAAACTACTATGTCCTAGGCCTTTTACAAAAGGTACTTTCCTCAGTCTCACAGCAACCTTGTGATATTATCTGCATTTCACTAATAAGAAAACAGAGCTGGTTCCTGTGAATCAGCTGACCCTGGGGCAGGTGCAACCTGAAAACTATGGACCTGGAGTTAGACTCTGTGGTTGCTGCCAGTGCTTTCCTTTTTTCTAAGCTCTCTGGGTGGCACTGATAAAGTGTGCTTCCTTCCAGACACCTCTTTATATTAGGAGGGTGAAAAAAAATGTTTTTGTGGGCACAGTGGCATACACCTGTAATCCCAGCAGCTCTGGAGGCTGAGGCAGGAGGATTGCAAGTTCAAAGCCAGCCTCAGCAATGTAGTGAGGCCCAAAGCAAGTTAGACCCTGTCTCAAAATAAAAAATGGGTTGGGGATGTGACTCAGTAATAAAGTGCCCCTGGGTTCCATCCCCAGCACCAAAAAAAAAAAAAAAAAAAAAAAAACCAATAAAAAAATGAACAATGAGCCTGGGATTGTGGCTCAGCAGTAAAGCACTTGCCTAGCATGGGCTAGGCCCTGGGTTTGCGCCTCAGCACCACATAAAAATAAATAAAATATAGATATTGTGTCCATCTACAACTAAAAAAAAAATTTTTAAATGAACAAGAAAAAAAAAACTTTTTACTATTTCTCCTCATTCCTGGAGGGAAAACAAAATAAAAGCAGGTCTCTATAACTGACACAGGGGTCATATTTTTCTTACAGAAAATCCCTGAAAAGGGGCTGAGGTTGTGGCTCAGTGGTAGAGTGCTTGCCTTGCACATGTGAGGCACTGGATTCTATCCTCAGCACCACATAAAATAAATAAATAAGTAAAACAACTAAAAAAAATTTTAAAAGAATCCCTAAAAACTCCTTTTTTCCTAGGCACTTTGACATGGAGTTTTCATGGTCAAATTAAAATCTAAAACTGGTGATGGTGGCAGGGAACCAATGGTTTAGCGTACACTGTTGGAAAAAAAAATAACAACTTAGGACTGGTTTGGAAGATGCCAGCTCACTTACATTTTTTGACAACTTGATGGTGTAACGCTGAGATTAGTTAGGCATGATGCCAAGTGACTGGGCATCTTCCTGGTAATGATTCCAGAGTCCTTGGAGCTAGGGAGAGGACATCTTGAGGGAGCCACACATGTCCAAGACTGCCAGAGTGTGTCTTGGCCCTGGGCATCTCTGGACAGCTTTCTCACCTTCCTTTTTCTTACCATTTCATGTTTTCACCCCTGACATTATCAGACCCAACTTTTTTTGAGATGTAGTTGTGCAATTTTAGTGACTTAAATTCATTTTTGTGACTCAAACCAAAAGTCATTTCCCAATCCACATTGCATAAGCTCCTGTTCCTAGCCTCAATTTCTAGGTGGAATTTCAACCACAAGTGCTTTATGCAAGATAAACTAGGATGGACTAATTATTTTTCATATGTGGAAGGGTTGAATTACTCAATGCTTGGGATCTGGGTCATTAGTCAGCATCAGCACTGTCATCTGCATTATCAGGGACTCAGAATGTGTCAGGTGCTCTGCAGGCGGCAAGGGCACCTAAGACATCTGTTCTGATGCAGTGATTTCCTGTCCTGTTTTTTGCTGCCTAGGGTGTCTCCCCTGGTTCTCAACATCCCAGCCTTCTAGAGTCCTGTGCCTGGGCAAGGGCCCCCTCCTTCCCTGTGGCAGGAGGCTGTAAAAGTTAAGAGCCCCCAAGTTGAAGCTCTTATTGCAGCTGGTATCTCAGGTGGCATATGTTCTGGGTAGTAGCAGATAGTATTTCTAGGTATTGGCTGATAATTTATGAAACACTCAGCTATGTGTATGCCCCACACTGTTTTCTTCTCCTACTTGGGCTCTGTCACTGGTCACTGGTACATACTATTAATATTATGTCCTGTTAAGTTAATATTACCTATCCAACTTTTTGACTTAAAATATTTTTAAACTTCTTTAAAAAATCAGTCCAGTTACACAATATTAAAATTCTTATCTGGAATACTTAAATGTTGGTTGGCATGATAGGAAACTGGACATTTTTTAATTTTTTTTTTATTTTTAGTTGTAGATGGATACAATATCTTTATTTTATTTATTTATTTTTATGTAGTCTTAAGGATCGAACCCAGTGCCTCACCCATGCAAGGTAAGTGCTTTACCACTGAGCCACAACTCTGGCCCTGGACATTTATTTAAGTAAAATAATTATTGGGGTTTCTTTAGTTCTTTAATCATCTGGCTTAAATCTCTAGATAGTATCTTGGAGTTAAAAACAAGCAGTCTAAGGGAAAAGGAAATGTAGAGAGAATCATCTTTCTACCTCATATGGCTTGCATTGTAGGATATTTAGAATTAAAGGTTAAGATCATTGTTATAAAACAATAACTTCCAAGACATTCAAAATGCTTAAACAATATTTTTCGACAGGGAGATGTAGCTCAGTGGTAGAGTACTTTCCTATCATTTGCAAGGCCCTGGGTTTCATCCCAGCATTGCAGAGGAAAAGAGAAGAAAAAAAAAGAAAGAAAGAAAAAAGACTCTTTCTGGAGGGCTTCCCACTGGCCAAACAATACTTTGTGTATATTTTTAAGAGGTTATTTTATATTTTCCAAGCGCATTGCAGAGAAAGTGGGGAATTGTCTAGTCTTCTCTTACAGAACACCTCCTGTTGTCCCCCTGGTGTGGCTCCGTGCTGTTATATGGGAGGCTCTGCCTTTCCCCAACTGGCCTCTGGCTCAGTTGTCAGCTGTTCCTGAAGTGCCCTGCTCACCCTAGACCGGCCTGAAGAATTTTGTTTTTGGTGTGTTTGTTTGTTTGTTTTTTGATGGTGATCAGAATTGGACCCAGAGCCTAATATACACAGAGCATACAGTATACTACCCCTGAGCGACTCCCTTCCCCAAAGACTCTTACCATGCCGAATGAGCGCTGTCAATGCAAGTGACGTTGCTTTTGTCTGTCTCAGACAGACTGTGGTGTGGGACAGTGAGCAGGATCTTGGAACCACACCTTTGGGTGTGTGGTTTCCAGTTTCATTATTTGTCAGCTATGTGACCATGGCCACAATATTTAGCTTCTCAGAACCTCAATTTACTTATCTATAAAATGGGGGTAAAAATACCTAACTCAGAAGGTGGTTGTGGCAATTAAATGAGATAATGTTGACAAACTGTTCAATGTACTCTGACCTTCACCAAATGCTTTTCTCCTTTTTCTCATGACTCCTTCCCAGAACTCCCCTCCAAAATTGAAATGAGTCTCCCCTTCTATTTTCACACTGCAGTATTTTTGTGTGTCTGAGAT